AATCGACTTATCTATCTATCCATGCATGCATCCATCCCATTCCATGACATCCTATCCCATCCCATCGCACCGCATCCCATCCCATATTCCATCCCATCCCATCTGATCGCATCCCATGCCATCCAATGACATCCGATGCCATGCCATGCTATGCCATGCATCCCATCCCATCCCATCCCATCACACCGCATCCCATCCCATCCCATGCCATGCCATGCCATGCCATGCCATGCCATCCCATCCCATCCCATCCCATCCCATGCCATCCCATCCCATCCCATGCCATGCCATCCCATCCCATCCCATCCCATCCCATCCCATGCCATCCCATCCCATGCCATCCCATCCCATCCCATGCCATCCCATCCCATGCCATCCCATCCCATCCCATCCCATGCCATGCCATCGCATGCTATGCCATCCCATCCCAAACAATAAAAAATAATAAGAAATCAAAAGATAAAAGACATTAAAATAAAAGAGTAAAAAATAAAAAATAAAATAAAATAATATAAAAAATATAATAATATTTGATCTGTAACCTACATAGGCTTCCGTGAAGTGTTCCCGTCAGTTTGCGCTATTATTATCATCTACCATAGTTTATTCTGGATTTTTACTAAACGTTTAAATGTAGTACAAAAATTTAAATTGTGAAATTAACAGTGTCGTGGCAGAAGTACATACTAAACAGTCCAAAAGTAAAGAAACAGAATTTCCCGAGGTGGAATTCGAACGCAGAATGAATAGTTTTGGAGTCCGATGCTTTATCCATTCGGCCACTGGGGCGGTATGGTTACAGAACATGATTAACACGTTGGAGATGTTAGGCTGTACGCACCGGCCGCCATCTATTAACGAATAGAATTTTTTTTAATGTTTAACTTTTTAACTTTTTAAAATTTTTGTTTCAACCAGAACCATCTCCCAGACGTGGTGATTCTGAATATATCTTCAGTTTTCCGCTGGGCTACGTAGTTCTCTAGTTATGAGCGAACAGACTAATTCGGCCGAACAACTTTATATATATATAAGATGTGTGTGTGTGTGTGTGTGTGTGTGTGCGTGAGAATGCGTGCGTGCGTGCGTGCGTGCGTGCGTGCGTGCGTGCGTGCGTGCGTGTTATTATAATCACCTAACCTAGGTGCCGGCTAATCATCCAACAGGCGTTATACCAAAATTCTGCGTCGGAACAATTTCCTGAGATATATATTTAGTACAGCGCTGTATCCGTGCCGGAGAATGTTTGGTCTAAACCTCACTAGGTTTTTATACATGGATCTGAACTGCTAAATTGAGAGAAAGTAGCTCAAAATATTGCTGCGAAACACACTTCCATTAAACACATCTTTATCAGAACGTGAAATTCCCTAGAGCTACATGCACTTATCATATTGACTATTGCATTTATCAGATTTTTTCTCCATGAAAAATACTGTCTCCAGTACAGGTGCTTGTATTTGAATTATATGCAATAAAGATTTAATAATAATAATAATAACAATAATAAATTAATAATGCACGCAGTTACGAAATTCCTAATTTCGACGCCAACACAGCACAGGAACGGTGGCTCGTAGATTCCATGTATAAACTGATGGAGGTTTGTATCGTGCTCATCTTTGTGTGGCAATCAGAATGCCTACGTGCTAAATATCATGATGTCATCTCCAACCAGCATCACGAACTGTGCATAAAACAAACATGAACTTCAGATAAATGCGAAGTGAATGCATGCAGCCTGATTGTGTAAATACGAATCCATACAACGGGCGCAAATATTATTAGAGCATATTACGTACAGGCGTTGCGTATGAACTGTGATTACGCAATATTACACATCCGCCGCGTGGTAGCGGCTGCTGCAGACCGATTGCGAAATTTTGTTTTCTCTTATTGACTCATCGTTTCGCTAACTCGATAGGCAATTTTAACAAGGGTTCACTTAGAACGAAGAGAGCTAAAGCAGTTAATTGGCCTAAAGAAAGCATCGCAACCGCACAGAGATATACAAATCGCAAAAAATTGTATTGAAGCCAGGCTTCGTCACTCGTGCGACGTGAAAGAAGTTGGAGCAGCTTTTCGGCTCGTCACCCGAGGATCATTTGAAAAGGTCGTCCAAGGTCAAACGCTACACGCACAAGGGCGAGCCCGGCGACACGTGCGCCCTCGTGTGGATGACAATGGGCGCACATGCAGGCCAACCCGGACCAGCGCCTCCGGGAGGCAGTGACGGACGAGCGACGGATGCGGCATCGACGCCATCCGCACGGACATCCACCGGACGTTCCCTGAGATTGTGTTCTTCGTCGACACGCTCGAGGGCGAGAGGGCGCCACGGTTCAACGTGCTCGTCGCGTTCGCGTGCCGCCGTACGTCAAAAGGCTGTTGCGCGTCCGCCTGTTCTACGAGGAAGCGAAGGTCGTGTTCCACGTCGCCATGACGACGGTTACGCCGCGGCGCGCTGGCTTTGTTGATGACGTTGCCACGTTCTGCTGTTCTGGTGGGCGGTCGGTGGGTGATTCCCCAGTGGTTCAGTGGGTAGGGAATTAATTGAAATCAGATTATTTAGTACTATCGAAAGTATTTAGAAACGACTTGTTAAAGCAGGTAAATGATGACCGTTCCTAAATATCCTCGGAATATAATTATATTTTGTCGTCCCGTTTGGTCACATATTGCCTGTAATCATATTCACTCCCACCGTGTTACACTGGCCCTTGGGCTTGAGATTTGTACAGGTTTCGTTGAATGTTGTAGTTGTGCCGATTTCGCCATGTACTTGGTGCGTATTGGTTATGGGGGTCAGGATTGGACTCCCCATCCCAAGCCTTAGTGTTTGTTTGTTTACTAACCTAGCTCCTCCGGGTGTGCATTGAATGCGTGCGCGCGTGCATGTGTTTATGTTCTATATTATACGGTCCGGTATGACATCATTATATCAAGTTTATCACAAGCGAGCAATCAAATTGTGAGGTTATTCGTATAGCACAGTGGCGTAGGTTCTCAGTATTAGTGGTGAAATTCTCATGAACTCTGACGAACATAATATGATGCACGAATTATCCTCTGTAGCAAAGTCTTTTGCTGCTAAAGTTGATTACTAATCTTTCTCCACACCCCCCTGTATGTATAGATGCAAGTTGATATACAATCTGTCACCGATAGAGGGCAGAGCGAAGCACCGAGTGAGCGAGATATAGCATGCGAATGAGATTGCCTTCATATATGTATATGTACATAATTGTGTATATTATCAAGAGTCCATAATAGAATATATATATATATATATATATATATAGTGTGTGTGTGTATGTGTGTGCTGTGTTGTGTGTGTGTGTGTCGTGTGTGGTGCTGTGCTGTCGTGTTGTGCGTGATGTGTGTGTGTTGCCTGTGGTCGTGTGTTGTGCGGCGCGCGCGCGTGTGTGTGTGCCGTGTGTGCGTGTGCATGTGTGTGTGTACGCGCGCGGCTGTGTGCTGCGTAGCTGTGTGTTGATATTATATATCTATATATATTTACTATATATTATATATATTATATAATATAATATATATAATATCAGGAGTTAATAAGGACAAATTTGTCATTACTAACCCCTGATAACATATAATGTGTCGCCTAGTATTTTATTTCTATCGTTTTTTACCGGCGTTCTCTTCCTCCCACTCTAGTTAATTGTAAACTAGACACGTTTTTGACTGCACTGGTGTGTTGATCTGTCAATATGATCAACGCTGACTTTCCCTTTTTCCGTAAGAGTCTCGTGGACTTTGAAGAATGTTAAAATAAGCCCTCCACTTATTGAAATCTTCCTATGAGCTTACAGTTTTCAGCCCATATAATTATAATTTTATTAACTCGTGCTCTCAGTCGTAAAGACTAATCCTGATTATGTTTCTAACAACGGAGCACTGGATTATTATTATGCAGTTATAAGGAGGGAATGTAGAAACTGGTAATTGATATATTGCTCGCATAGATAATGTGTCTATTGTTTATCAACTATTATTTCGGTTCAATATTGTTTATCAGTGCCTAGCATTCTATCAAAAGCAATACAAAGTAACACAATGTACATCTAAATAATATGTTTAATAAATAATGTGATTTCCATTGTCAATAATTGCGTCTCGCCATATGTATGTATAAAAAGTACGTTGTATATAATATATTATACAATAATATATATTAAAATATATTATATTAATATACACGAATTATATATTTATATTATATACACCATTGTCGATTGTCGCCATTGACTACTGACCATGTAATAGTTTAGTGGGGGACGAAACTGCCTCAGTGGCCCTTCTCTCGCTAGGTATGGCCCGACTAGGATATTACCAGGAGTAAAGCATTGTTTCTATTCTAATATTTAATTTTCTTCGTCTTCGTCTTTGTCGTAGTCTCTCGCGGATGATCCCCGCTGAGACGTCAGCTAGGGGCTCACTTCCCTGCACGTTGATGATTCTTCTCCACCTCCCTCGATCGGCCGCATCGTCCTCCGTTACTCCTAACCTTTTCATCTCCGCCTCCACTCCATCCCTCCATCTAATTCTCTGTCGCCCTCTCGTCCTTCTTTCTCTCACCAGCTCCTGCTATGCACTCTTCGTTTGCTCCTCATCTTTCTTCCTAACCACATGCCCATACCATCTCATTCTACTTTTGACTACGACTTCCTATTGATAACCCAAACCAAAGCCCAAACGCGCATTCGTAAGTAAGTTTGTCACCGATAGATGGCACGGCGCGCTTAAAAATATCTATAGTATTCAGAGTATTATAAGTACAGTGTACATAAATTGCGCGTATTTCAGGGTATATAATATTTGCCATTAATTAATAGAATATCTAGAAGGTATCCAATTACGAATGTACCAATTAAATAAAAAGAAAGTGAACCATAGAAACAGTAAAGCGTGGAATATATTAGAACCTTTGATTTATTGTTGAAGACATTCACTAAAATTCCTTATAGCAGTGCAATATATTCTGTTCACTGTGAACACATGTAAACCTAAATAACATAAGATTGTTTGCAGGTTACTTGGACGATAATCAAATCTAAAAATAAGTAAAATGACATAATGCATGGGTACAATGAATTGTTTAACACGAAATTCCACGTATAAGCCTAAATCACATATATAATGAATTATGCAATGCGACGGTAACGCTCTAGAAATAAAATTAGGGCCACACGAATAAGCATAGCCTAAAACTAACTAACAATATATAAACCCCTATATCCCATCTATTCCCCCAGCAGCCAACATGCGAGCGGGGCTTTGACACTGGCCATTGCGAGGTATGGGCCCTACTGCTATTGAACTAGCCGTGACCGCTGCTAGTTTTCCATTCCCAGTCCCCATTTCTAATATTTCAACGTATACAATTTTAAATTAACAATTTATTGCAATGGAAAGAATGCTTTGTAACGGTAAACTTATTCGTTTCTTCCAAATATACAAAAAATAATTCATACTTTTTATTACTGGGGTGGGAGTGAGGGTGATTACGGGAAGAGCAGCGCAAGGCGAAAGAAGACGCAGGCTGTGGTACGGTTCAGTGCTTGTATTCATACCCAATATTACGGTGAAGTTTTGTAGATGTAACCCTATGGATTACGCCTCGATGTATGCAAATTTATGGAGACTCAAGCTTTATTCACCAGCCTTCTGCTTACGATAGCTATCCTTGGTGCTTTGACATCAGGTACGTACATTTTTCAATGCAGTTCGTGCGTCGCGGCGTTATGTTTTGGTGTGATTTTTTCTGTCTATGCTCCACGCTCTCGCTAGCAAAATGGCGGCCGGTTACTTTGCTACATCTCCAAATCTCCCATTCGAGCTGTAGTTTTCTGACCATTTTATTATGATACAAATGTCTTGGTACGCTGAATCAATATCTGTGTCCATTGTATACATCTTTATGGTATTGTTATTTACACAAAAAGTACAAATACATGGTACTGAGTTGAAAAACACGCAATTTTCGGACAGTGAGCTCGGCCCACTACCTACAGCCTACAGGCTACATTAACCTAGCTGCTTTTTGGCTTTGTAACAACCCAATGATGCACTACCATAGACGTCTGTTCTTCATCAATCGGACAGACACTCCGAGAAAGCTCTGTATTCAGTAAATCTAAACGAGGGCACGACATGAAACAAAGGATATTCAAATTCAGAGAAGTAAACATGTGGCCCTCACTTCTATTTATAACAATTTCGTGAAAATGTACATAGGGCCTACCAATTTTGTAAATAAGTTTTTTCATCCGTTATCTCGTCTTCATTTAGGCCTCTCGTTAAAATGTAGATACATTATATCATATCTGTATTTTTTAGTGTTATTTTCTGCATTTGTTTTTGCCCAATCACAATAATTCACGGTGTCTAAAACGTCTTGGCATTGGTTTTTGTTCTTGGTATTGTTACTGTTTCAAGGAAAGATAGCCTAGAACCGGTACCTGATATACTTGATCCTGCTACCTGTAATGATTTTGCTGTGCGTACCGATGATTGTTTGTCTTTTTTCAATTAGAATATTTGAATTGGCTTATAGATACGTATGTATATATTATATAATATGTATATATATACCTTGCGAAATTATTATACCTTAGGCTTATATATAGCATTTTATCATGTGAAATTGTACTGGAGAGGTATACAAGCGTAA